GCTATCAAATTAAGTTTTTAATTTTAGTTGTACAAGGGTTTTTCTTTGCATTTTTACATATTTTTAAAAATGTTTTTCCTTTGTAGAACTATTCTTTATATAAGTTGGAGATTATATTATTTAGAAACTATGTGTATAAACTTAGTTTTATTCTTTGAAATTTAATGATATTATTTGAAGAATATTAATTTTAAGCCAGCTGTGTTCTGCTATATTATAGTATTTTCGTGGAATGACAGGCATGTCACATAAATGGGAAACCAGTATGCTGGTAACCCCAGGATTTCAGGCATACCAGTTAAAATGTGACTAAAATATAAAATTAATCAGATCTAACAAAACTAGTTGTTAATTAAAATAATAATATTGTAATTTGAGGGACTTAAAATCAGGAAAAGAGTTTTCGCTTACAAGATAATAAAACAATTAATGACTTATTGACAGTAGTAGTAGTAGTAGTAGTAGTAGTAGTAGTAGTAGTAGTTAGTGTGAGCTACACTGACCATCTATCTACCTTGACCTTAAAAATAACACCTTCCTCTCAAATTTCATACAGATCCAGCCATATTAAATGTTAATCAGTGTAAGTTGAGATAATTTACAAGAAATTTCTTAAATTTAATGTGTTTATTTTTGCATTTTTGAATCAAATTAATAAATAAAATAAACATAAAAAAAAGCTCTTTCGGAATTCCGTGAGTATTTTATGTGGTTAGAGAGAAGATAAAATGAAGAAATTAAACGTATAATTGTAGTTTTTGATCTAATGCTCACAGTTTTAGAATAAAAACTTGTTTGTTTTTAGCTAACGTAACTTATTTGTTTTTATTTATTTATTTATTTATTTTCTTTTTCGGTGGGCTCTCTAAAGAGGGATATAATATAACCTCACTTAAATCAGTATGCTAACTGCTAACATTTCCCTGGGATAAATTTGCATGCCAGTTTTTACCATACAAAAATATCTTATTTTGTGGTCTCCCCTGGAGACTGATATGCCTGACAATCTATGAAAATACAGTAATAACATTAGAAATAGTATCTTCTGTATAATGCAAAAGACATTATGACTATATCCTTTATGCTAAAAAGAAGTAGTGTATTTTTTGAAGTTTTCAACACAAAAGAGAATATTGCATACAATGCAGACTTTATGTTAACTGTATTTATAATTGCTGATATTCTGTACACTTATTAGATAGAAACAATTTATCTAAAGAATGAAGCAGATACTGATACTCCTCAGACATTGTTTGAAATGATGCTTTTGGCAGTGTTTACAGTTGATGGGCATTCCTTTGGAATTATATATTTTATGTTCTTTCAATTGGTTCTGCAAATGCTCAGAGGTAGAGAGGTAGATAGATAATCAAACCCAAATTACTACAATAACCAAATGATAATGTCAAGTTAACTTTTTTGCTAGATTTGGCTAATTAATGTAGTAAGTACTATGTACTCTGAACTAGAGGTAGGCAGCTAAAACAAAATTCACAACTTATAAACTCCAACAACAAGTTTAATAATAGAAAAACATTTTTGACCTAAATTGATAATTCTTCTTCAGTTGTTGAACTATCAATTTGAATGAATTTGAAATTTGAATGAAAAAGAACATAAGATAAAATTTGAAATAGAAATCATCATTTCCTGCATATGATAGTTTTGGCAAGTAAATTGTTACTTCATACTGAATTTAATAATTATATTAATTTCGAATTAAATAATTAATGCTATTCTGGAAGCAAAGATCAGATGGAGGTCCAGGTAGCATAATTGGAAATATATTTGCACTGTAAGCAGAAATTGCAGGTTTGAGTCCTGCTCCAAATTGTTCTTTTCTTTCATAATAGACTTTCATAAAATTAAATAATTCATTTAATTTAATTCAAAATTAATTTAGTATCTATGAAATTAATTATCTAAGTTCTAACCCAAAAGTTTATTCAGTATTATCATTTGATTGGCAAAGATGTAAAAGTTTTATTTATATAACATATACCAGTATATACTAANAGTATCAAAGCTATGAAAAAAATAGAAAAATCTTTTCTATTTTATTCTTAGATTGTTTTAAGATTCAGCTAGAAAATATAAATAATTATCATCTTGATTTTATAGGAAATAAATATTGTTATAATGAATTATCACTATATCAATATAATAATTTATGTATAAACAAGGTATTTAATTTTCACTTTGTAATATTTTCCAGATCTCAGTTATCAAATTTGTAATTTTTTATTCACTATATAGTATGAAGAATACATTATTATAAATTACAATTGAATGTCTTAATATTTTGTGTCTAATAGAGAATAAATTATATAAGTATGTAATTATTTAAATTTCCTAACTTATTTCGAGTTTGTAAATAAAATTTAAAGTATGTAATGGAATACTGCCATTTCTCAATATTTGTCACTTTGTTTATCTATTAAGTATATCAATTATTTATGTATTTTTTATGTTAAGTTATGTTAACGATTTTATAAGATTATTACAGGTTTTTGTTTAAATAGTGACATTTCATGAATTGAATAAGATATATTATAATGTCTTATTAAATAAATTATAATATTAAAATTATTAAGATGAATTTTATTCTTCCTAAATATTAAAGATTTAGTTAACATTTGAAGCATTATTTTGATAATCTTGAAAGCTTTGAAATTAATTAGATATATTGGTGAATAGAAAATCAAATACTCAACTGAATTTCAAATAAATTATGAAGTTTGGAACAGGAATAAATTATGCATTATGACATCAACAGAGGATAATATATATAATCATATATTGGCTATTATTAATTGAACAGTTTATAAAATGTATTGTGAAGATAAGTTGATTAATAATGATTGAATGAATTGTAAAAATATATTTAAAGTATATAAAAAATTGTAACTAGTAACTATCAAGATTTACTTGATTTTTACAATTTACACAATGTTTTATCTCTTTGTAGACTGCATTTCGTAAAAAGGATACACTAATCAAAAACCTTTTAAACTGCAGTCAAATTTATTATCAATTTCAAACATTTTCTGTTATCTTTAATGACCTTTATCAAGAACAAACGAAAATCTGACGGATTTGTATTAACGATAAATGAGTTTTGGAACGTATTTAAAAAAACTTATAGTGCAAAATCTCATGCCGTTGGGTTACCATTATAAGTGGGCATAAAATAAAATAAAACAAATAAAAAATGATAAGATACTTCAAATAAATACGTAGATGAAAATAAAATAAAATAAAATAAAATACTAAAACACAACCATAAAAGCAAAAACATTAATGCATGTGTAGCCGGATTGTACACTTAATATTCATGCTTTTCTAGATGTTGTCTCCCTATTTACTGTTACTTCACTACAGTTCTTTCCTGTTGAAACTTTACATTACGCTTGATCTCCATGCTGCCGATATCTTACTTGCTTCTCTAAAGTTGATTGCTTGTCTTTCTTGACTGGTTTTGTAAATATGCCAAGCCTCTGCATACTTGAGGTGTTTTTTGTTGTGAATTTTTTGTATGAACTTTCTTTATCCCATTCCACTATAACTTCTGGAGGGTCTGTTAGAATGTATGTTGCTAGCGCTGTGACTGGCTGCTCATTTCTTATGTTTGTTTTGTGCTCCATCAGTCTTTCTTTGAGCAATCTCCCTGTAGCTCCAAAAAAAGTAAAACAGCTCTTTCTGCCGCCTTTTATCTGCTATTGGAATTCTATATACTCCAGGAAGCATCTTTGTCCACTCTTAACATTTGATAAACTGCTGGATTCCTTTTGTAAATTATTTTTTTGTTTGTGGCTGCTCCAATTCTTTTGTAGAGATTGTTTAGCGGGGCCCTGTATTCCATAAGTGTATACTCTTCTATTTTATTTCTTATATTCAGGTCTTTGCTGCCTGTTTTTGTTTTGCTGGTTAGAGCTTTAATATTAACCCCAAATTGTCTTGCTAGGTTTTTGATATATTGCAGCTCTTCATTTCTATCTTGTATTTTGCTACAGTGAGTGTGCGCTCTTGCTATGAGCGCCTGGAATGCTGCAAGTTTATACATTACTGGGTCGTGTGAATTTCATGGTATAAACAATGGGTTGTATGTAGGCTTTCTGTAAACTTTTGTAATTATATCTCCTCTGTTGTCTATTTGTATTGATAAATCCAGAAAATGTATAATTTTATTATTTTCTTGTTCCAGCTCAATCTCTAGGCCAAAATTGTTGTTGTTGATGTCTTTTATAAATTGCTGTAACTTTGGTTTTACTTTCCATATAATAAAAACATCGACATATCGTGCATATAATACGATTTGCATTGCATATTTTGGTATGACAGTGTTCTCTAACGTTCTTCTTAAAGCCACTTCACATAATGTACAGTACCTGCTACTGGACTTCCCATTGCTACACCTTTCTGCTGTGCATATGTGACTCCTCATTTGTCGATATTTTACCTCAAAGGAGTCACATTGTAAGCATTGTCAAAAGAGTCTGCATTGCAACTTGACATTCTTATGGTAGAAGGAATCAGACATAACTCTTGTCTTTTATTGTTTTATATAGGATTTTTATTGCTCACTTCTTAAAATCTGAATTCATGTGAAAATGTACTGAAACTGAAGTTATTAGTTTAATAACAAAGCATGACACAAGCACAGATATAGAACTTCATTTTTAAAAATTTCAAAGACATAGATAAAAATTGCAATTTTCTCAACAATTACAGTCACATTGCACATTTTGAATTTCACCTCCCCATTTTAATTAATTGATATGCATTTTTAATAATCAGAATACCAGTAGATGGCAGCACTATCTATAGTATCAATTTCATTTAAGCTTTAATAAATGTAAGAGAATAATCCTGTCTATGTTTTGCAGTTTGATAAATTTAACAATATTAATATGTTTAATCTAAGAATTGTCAGTAACAAAAAAGGAAGAATTTTTCATTCTTAAATTTTTCATATCAAATTAACTTTCATATATTTTTAGATGTATCATATTCCTTTTTAGAAATAAGAAATATCAACTTTTTATTACATAATGCAAATTTAAGAGCCATCAATGCTTTTGTTAGATAATAAGCAAAAATGTAACAAATTATTCAAATAATTTTATATCCATAATAAAATTGTTAATACTAATATATTTAAATTATGTTTTAATGTATTCTGTAAACATAGCTACTATAAAAAGTTAATTATTTTCTTTGATTTTTTTTTTTACTATTAACTTAAGATGAAAAATATTCTTTAAAAATTTGAATGACCCCTTAAAATGCTGCCAGAATAAACAAGATTCCAACTATTTTCAAGATTGTGGTAGTAACATAATGCATTTCTTTAATTAATAATATTGCTGGAGTTTGTCTTTCCTTAATCCCTCATTCTTTATAGAATGTTGTTTTCCTGAAAGTCTGACATTTTTTTCAGTTGACGTATTTTGCCTAAAGTTCTTTTCTTAATGGGTTTTTCATTTATAAAAAAAAAAATGATATCTTACACTCCTTTAGATTTAACTTAATGCTTCTAGCTATTCTAACAATATATTCTGATCTTCATTTTTTTATTGGGTATTCCAGATGACTTTACACTCACATGTCCATTTCACTATTATTACTATTATGTTTTCTTTTCTAAATTACTGTAGAACTGAAAAAGTGTACTGAAAAGTTGATATTTTTTATTTATGCATTGTAACTGTATTTATGTGTATCCTATTTTTATTTAGTTTCTTTTGCTGAGATGTCATTAACTTTTTTAGTAACTCTTATCAATATACCATGGTTCTTAGATAACTCCTGTATTTTTTCCACATCTAATCTAGTTTATTCCAGAATAAACATGAAAAGAAATCTTTATGAATGAAAAACTTTTCACCATTCAAGATCTATTATAATTTAACAAAGGGAACTACAATGGATTGAATAATTCTTTTTGTGTACAATTGCTTTAGTTTTTCAATAGTCCATACATTTAGATAATGAACTTCTTATGTGTTTCATTGAACTTTCTTCAACATTATGATAGCATAACATATTTTTAGAAAATACTAATATCTCAATAAAGAAAACTAAAGAAGATAGTTAAAATACAAGTTAGGTTTCTGATTAATCATTCATTTATGACAAGTAAAAAAATTATTATTAAAAGTAATTTTAAAGAAAACTTCCATGATTATCATTGCTCATGAATTAGTAAGATACAAAGAAGTAATTTAAAAGTGAATTTATTACACAACATAGTGTTTAAGAATCAAAGAAGAGTCACAACACTGTTTCAGATTATCAAAGTAATTTAATTAAAGCACATTTTAGAGTGCTTTGCTAACACAGTTCTTTTCAGTTACATTCATGTTTATTATTTTTTGGTATTTGTCTTACTCTTAAGGGAGATTTAAGGTTTGTAATACAATACTATTGCATAATTTTTATTTATTTTATTTTTGCATTACTGTGCACTTCATAAATGATAATGTAAGTTTTTAGACTTTATATGCACTGGCAAGTGAAAAAGTGTGACATTTTGCTTTACAGAGGTAGTCTGGAACATAATCTATCATAAAGCAGGGTATGCTATACAGATCACACATATTCATAGCCATAAACTTTACACATATTAAATAAAATTAAAATTAATTTTATTAAAAAATAAAAAAAACTGCTTCTTTACAATTATATTTTAAATTCTCCATATTATATAAAAAGGTTGTATATTATTTTCTAAGTAAATATTTTTAAAATTAAAAGAAAAACATAAATTAAATACATGGTGCAACAGTGGCATGCCATCATTGGAAGCGGTGGATGTGCCACTTACCTTGTATTTTGTAAAAAAATAAATACATATTAATTTTAATTATATGAAAATAATTGCACAATATTTTATTATAACTGCATTATGTATCTTATTACAAATTTCTATACTACATGTGAAAAAAAAGATAAGATCGCTATTGTATATTCAAATATTAGTGGCAGAGTGGAAGCGCTGTATTGTCAGCATCCAAAAAGCCAGATTCGCGCATGCACTTTACAGAGCACCAACCTCACCCGGTTTAGCTGGTGGAAGCCTACGACCTTGGGTGGATGCTACATGTATACCGCATCCAATTCTATCCAGGACTGGTTCTGGGCTGTTAGCCGCCTGCCCGCTAGATATTTGGCTGCCCTCACCCGATTATGTGAATCACGAGTAGATTTATAACTTAACCCAACCGATAAGAATTTACTGGTATGTTTTTATGATAGTTCTGTATAGTTGACAGGAGTTTTAAAAACTCCATTAAAATATTTGATATTTTTATTTTGCTCTCCGATTTTATATTACTCACGGAATTTCAATGTTAAACCAGTGATATTATGATTTTGTATATCCCATCTTTAAGGGGATGTAGAAAAAAACGTGTACAATTCTTATACAATGTTAAAAAATTAACTGTTACTTTGGTAGCATTATTTACAACTAAATTTAATGAATGAGAGAGATGCACGAGGTACAGAAAAAGCTCTAGAATTTATTTTCCTTACATTTATGATTTATTTATTCGTTTGTCATAAAAATTTGTCTTTCCAGTTTTTTCCCAAGACTACAAATATTCGAGTAAAAAGTAACCGGTTCGACTTATTTCTACTTAATTAAGAAGTAGTTAAATAATTAAGTGATTAGGGAATTGGGGACATAAAGAAAACCCTGACGAAAGAGCCGAAATTTTACTTAAACAAAAGCTTAACCGAATCATCTCTAGCCGAGTACAGTAGAGACTGATTTCTTCGTATTATTAATGTAATAAAGACAGAAATTTTTCCAGTTTAATGAGAGTGACTGAAAAGTTGTAAATTTTGGAAATTTCTGAGGATACTTGGTCCTAAAATGAATTAGTTAGAAAACAAAGGACTATTAAGTTTAACGTATTTAGATTTTTACAGCTATGGTGAGAAATGTTTAAAATCTACAACAGCCCTGTTGCGTCCTATGAGATATACTAGTGATGCGACAAAAGAGGTACAGTCGACCCCCCTATGACACGGGTTCCTATAGTTCGGATTCCTATATCATGGCAAAAAAATTGTGACAGTATTCATACAAACATGCTAAAAAACTCCTATAATTTGGTAAAACGTCATCGCCGACTCGTGTCACGACAGGATTGCACAAACCGTTGAGTTTAAACGAACAGCAGATTTACTAAAAACCATTTATTATTTAACGTCCATAAAAATTATAATTATATTAATGATGTCTCTAAAGTTCAGTGAATTTTTCACAAAAAAAATAATTTATCAGGAAGCATGCAAGCGCCATTCGAACACAATCTCCACGACGAAAACAAGCTTAATTAAGCAACGGCGTAGTTGAACAGTGCACACTCGGTAAGTAATCCTACAATTTTTTGTTTATAGCATAGTTTATATGGATTATTCCCAAAAAATTATACGTGT